TGTATGCAGTGTGAAAATTTTAGATAATCATGTGAAATTTGTGGTAATAGAATTTCGATACATTTTAGGGATTCTTATTTAAGAGATCTGTCAAGGATTGAGAGCTTTAGAACCATATTTAAAATTTTAAATGTATCTCATCTCTGTCTCTTTGTGGTCGTGAAGCCATTCCTTGTCCTTCTGGGTGAGTAGGGATGTCTGATACTGCCATATTTGCCATATTAAGCTGTCATCGTTAAAGTCAAATATTAGAATTTATTTCTGTTGATTTTTGTTTTCTTGTATTTTGTTGTTCTTTGCCGGAATTAGTGCATGTTTCTTAATACCATCCACAAAGGAAATACCAGATCTCTTATGAAACTGAGAGGGATGATATGACATCCTGTATTTTCTATTTTAAGCCCTAGTATTTTAAGCACGTTAAAGAGATAACTGCTAAATTTGAGAGGTGTTAAATGATGGACAGTATTGGGAACAATGCCAAGAGCCACTAAAGACAAAAGCCAGCTGTGGTCAGAGAAAGGTAACTGCTAGTGCAAGTAGCGTGTGAATTACATTCAGCAAGTACCTGTGATAAGCCAAGTATTATGTGGGGTGCCTTAATTGTTTGTTATTTTATTTACTTCTCACTGCTGTTGTATGATAAATGGTTCTCTATTTTATAAATGGAGGAAATTAAGGTTCAGAAAGAATAACTCACATATCTGTCACCCTATAACTAATGAGTAGAAGAGCCAGGTTTAGAGAGTAGGTCTAATACCAAAGCCCATGTTCTTTCTAATATTAAGAATGAAAATAGAAAGGGACCAGCAGATGGTGTAATACTTATGTCACTGGACTCCCATGTAGTCGACTGTGGTTTAAATCCCAGACCCGGTGGATTAAAAAAACACACTGGGCGCATGTGCGTATGTGCCCAAAATCTTAAGAGGATAATGGAGGAGAAAGGATTGTGGTGTGACCATCCATTCTAGGAGGTGACTTCTTTCTGTCTCTCCGTCTTTCTCTGTCTCTCCAGCAAGTGCATGTGCCCTATAGCAAAAATATCTCTTTCAAAAATAAAAGAATGAAAATAGGACAGTAAGTAGATTAGACACCTGGAAGAATTAGTAAATCTGTAGAACTAGCGTGATATGTTAAAGACATGATGTGTAGGAAATTGCCTTCTAGGACAAGTGGTCAGATAAGCAATGGAATGGCCTTGTGGTCAAGTAGGCATAGTGCTGAATAGGAAATTGGGACCCAGGTTTCATCTTTAAGTTTTAGTTTTCTTACCAAGAAGCAGTTTCTGAACGGATAGTTTCCTGAAGTGTCTTCTTTCTACCTCTAATATTCTGTAATTTAAATGGGGTTAGGCAGTGATACAGTGGTAATGCAGCTGGACCCTCATGGGAACTGGGTTTGCCTCCTTGAACCTCCCTGAGCACTCCAGGCAGGCATGCCAGTGGTCCAGGCCAGCTGAATTTGGTGGTGGATCGTGGTCTGAAGACCCTATTGGGATGTCTGTCTCTCCCTCAGAATAAATAAATCAAGCTTAAAAAAAAAATATATATATATATCTACACTGTGTATATGTATATTTATATATATATATATATATGTATATATATATATATATTCTGTAATTATTTAGATGTTTTAGCTAACTTAGACTTGATTTGGTATCTAGGTCCAAACCTTGATAGTAAAACAGTGATAAAAAGAAAAAGTGAAAGAGGAGAGTCTGAGGAAGGACATTCGGGGGAGGGACAGGGAGGCAAAGCATTAATGGCACAAAGAGATGTGGTATTATCTGTTGGAGATATTTCGTAGTTTTATCAACAGTACTAGGGAGAAATGTTCACCTGTTGAAATATCCATTTTGTAAGACAAATAATAATGTGATTCTACGGAAGAAAATGAAATGAAAAATAAATAAATAAATAAAAATGTATTAAAAAACAAAACAAACAAACAAAAAAGTCAATATTGGGCCAACTCTGTGGCCTAGTGGTTAAGGGAGCCTGATCCCACAGGGCCAGTCACAGTTTGAATTCCAGTCCCAGTGCCTTGAACGATGTGCCGGCCACATGTGTATGTGTGCCTAGAATGCTGACAGGATAGAGAAATGGAGAAGTAATTGTGGCACGTCCACCCCATTGAGGGATGCTTTCCTCTCTTCCCCAACTCTCTGATGAGCACACACACCTTCTAGAAACACCAAAGGAAAGCTAATATTTAGGGAATGCCTTCACAGTGTACCAGGCATTGTACGCTATACAGATATTTTTCATGTCTTTATCTTACTTAATTCGTACATGGAATTAAGTACCATACTTTGTTTTCATCTCCATTTTACAGATGAGGAAGCTGAGGCTTAGAGACTAAGTAACTTCTCCAGGGTCACATTATGGTATGTGTAGAGCCAGAACTCAAACCCAGGACTATCTGACATAGAAGGTGATTATGTTAAACTAGATTTATATTTTGTGAAGACTAGGGAGGATTTCTAGGACTCTGCCTCCCCTTTCAGGCTTCCTTTTCCTCATATATTTAGTGCTTTAATTGTATTGTATCTTTAAAATAAAATTGATAAAGGATTTATCCCAGTCTTTAAATGTTGATGCTAATTTTTTAAAGTTTCTAGCCACTATGAAAATATCCTAAAATGCAACTTTTCCAGATTTTGAAGAATATTTCCTCAGAGTTAAAGTTGTGTTGTTAAACATACCATTTTATCCCTTTTGAATTGGCTGTTTTCTGCTGGTTATTTTGTATTGCTTCTCTCTGTGACTCAAGCATATAAGTTAAGACCCCCCCTTTTTTTTTCATGTGCCTGGCGTGAGTTTCTTTTTTTTTTTTTAATGTCAAATATTTATTTTTTATTTTTTTAATTTTTTAATTTTATTATTATTATCATCATAATCTTCTTTATATTACATTGGGTTATATACAATTTTACAGTGTATTACATTGCTTTTTCAAAAGGGAATGCCATGCATGTCAGTCAATACAGAGACATTAATCTCCCCACTTCATCATTCAATATCTTTTCTATGTTTTTTTCAATCATTATTATTATTCTAATTATTTTTTAAAACAGTCGATCACTATTTCTCATTTTGCTTGTAAAAAGACTTTACCCATCATGAAATACTTCTCAGACCAATCCAGTTGAGAATACTATACATGTCATCATCAACAGTTAATAACCCCTATCTGTTTCTCACTAACGTCCTGTCTCTCTATTGTTCACTTGCTATCTTTCTCTATCCTCTTCTCTTCACTTACCCCATTCCACACTGTCCTATTCTCATTAAGTACCTTCACTGTGTTTATGTCCTCCGAATTTTTGCTCTCTATTATAGAGTGCGGATAGTCGGTATATATTGAGTGGATACATACAATATCTTTCTTTCATAGCCTGGCTTACTTCACTCAGCAATAGATCCTCCATATCTGACCATTTTCTATCAAATTCCAGGGTCTTGTTATTTTTTATGGCTGAGTAGTATTCCATAGAGTATATATACCACACTTTTCCAATCCATTCATCAGTTTGTGGACATTTAGGTTGGTTCCATGTCTTGGCAATTGTGAATAATGCTGCAATAAACATGGATGTGCAAGCACTTTTCTGACTGAGCGTTCTCCTGTCTTTTGGGTAAATACCCAGAAGTGGGATTGCTGGATCAAATGGTAGTTCTATTTGTAGATCTTTGAGGAACCTCCATATTGTTCTCCACAGTGGTTGAACTAGTTTACATTCCCACCAACAGTGGAGGAGGGTTCCCTTTTCACCACATCCCCGCCAACACTTATCACTTTTTATATTCTTAATCTTTGCCATTCTGACAGGGGTTAGGTGGTATCTCATTGTGGTTTTTATCTGCATTTCCCTTATGATGAGGGATGTCGAGCATTTCCTCATATGCTTTTTGGCTGTTCGTATGTCTTCCTTAGAGAGACTTTTGTTCAGCTCACTTTCCCATCTTTTAATCGGGTTAATCATTTTTTTTCGCATAAGGCACTTGAGTTCCCTATGTATTCTCATTATCAGTCCCTTGTCTGAGGCATATTTAACAAAAATATTTTCCCATTCTGAGGGTTGTCGGTTCACACTTGATACTGTGTCCTTTGCTGTGCAGAAACTTCTTAGTCTAATATAGTCTCACTTGTCTATTTTAGGGATTATTGCCTGTGCTTTGGGAGTTTTATTTAAGAAGACTTTGCCTACGCCAGTGTCTCCCAGAGTTTCCCCAGCATTTTCCACCAGTAGTTTTATTGTTTGAGGTCTTAGGTTCAGATCTTTGATCTATTTTGAGTTGATTATTGTTAATGGTGAGAGATGGGGGTTCAATTTCATCTTTCTGCAGGTGGATACCCAGTTTTTCCAGCACCATTTACTGAAGAGGTTTTCCTTTTCCCAATGGATTGACTGATAACCTTTGTCAAAGATCAGTTGGCTGTAAGCTTTGGGGGTTATTTCTGGGGTCTCTATTCTATTCCATTGGTCCACTTGGATAAGACCCCTTTTAAACAGTATTATGTAGATTGATAAGGAAGAAACAAGAAATTTCCCTGAATTTATTTTAAACTTTAAAACATAATTATATTCTCTAAGCAGTGTATTTTTATATAGTGTTTAACGGAAACTGTGGCATCATTTTTACTTTAGAAGTTCTCTTTTCAAAGAAACGTAGAGAAAACCCAGCTATAGTGCCAGGGTATATTAATTAAAATCAGTGGGAAAATAGTCATGTGTAACATTTCTTTAGCTGTCTTACTTTCATAAAACTAATTTCATGATTTTTTTCTCCATAGCCTAGTAAATAAAAATAGATTAAACTCATTTACATGGGCTCTCCTCTTTAGATGTCTGCTCCAATGAGGATCTCCCTGAAGTTGAGCTGGTTAGTCTACTAGAAGAACAGCTTCCACAATATAAGCTAAGAGTGGACTCTCTGTTTCTATACGAAAATCAAGACTGGACTCAGTCCCCACACCAACAGCAGCATGGATCTGATACTCTCTCTCCGGTCCTTGCTGAAGAGACTTTCCGTTATATGAGTAAGTATTTTTTTTTTATCCTTTTAAAGTTGTCTATTGAAATAAAAAATCATGGGTATCTTGGTAGTGGCTTTACAAATACTTAACTTTAACTCAGATTGATTGAACAGGATGATTCTGATTGTGTTCTATCTGAATGTAGAGTTTTTCATGTGTATGATCTGTTCAGTGTTGGAAGCATACTTAGATGTTTCCATTTCTTCTAACTTTTACTCTCTGTTTTTCTCAGACTAAGTAGAAAGAGAAACTTTTAAAAGAGCAGTGACTAGGTCAGTTGGGGGTGTGGTGGTTGAGGCTACTGGATCCCACATGGCAGACTGAGTGGTTCAGCTCCCGGACCCAGCAGCTTGAAAAACACACCAAGTATGTGTATGTGTGCGTACCAAAGGGGAAAATGGAAGAGAAGGGATTGCTGTGTGGCTATCCTTCCTGGGGGATGACCTCTCTTCTCTCTCTCTCTCTCTCTCTCTACCTCCCCACCCTCCCATCCTCAGTGAGCACCTGTGCCCTATAGAAAAAAATAAATTAATAAAATTGAAATAAATAAATAAAAGAGCATGAAATTATTTAAAATTTGAATATCCCTTTATGTCTGTCAACATTTATCATCCTAATAGTTTGGTATCATGAGCCATCAATTTTTTGACTGTTCCCTATTAAAACATAGTCATAGAAATGATGTCTGTCATTAAGGAATATAGTCCTGGGACCACAGATGGCATAATGGTTATGTTGCTGGACTCCTATGTAGTCGACTGCGGTTTAAGTCCCAGACCTGGCGGCTTAAAACTCATACCTGGTACTTGTGTGCGTGTACCTAAAATCCTGAGAGGAGGATGGAGGGAAAGGATTGCAGCATGGCTATCCTGCCGCCCCCCCCCTGGGGGGGTGACTTTCCATTTTTTATCTCTCTGGCAAGTACATACTTCCTATAGCAAAAATCTCTGGAAAAAAAAAAGAAAGAAAGAAATACAGACCACAGATATATAAGTAATTTTAATATGCCAAGGAAAATAAATGTGTACAGTAATCCCCATTATTAAGGATTCATAGAGAATATGTCAGAGAGGCTAAACCAGATTGGCCCTGCAAATAAGTTTGTTTCACACCACACTGTTAGGAAGTGACAAAATTAAATAGAGAGATTTTAAAACTTTGAAATATGGAGCTCTTTTTGCATTTGATCTCTTTCCAAAAGTCTACAGTAAGGCTGAGCTTATTTATTTTGTGTGAAAATGCTTCATGCATATCCTGTTAGCAGAATATATAGTGAAAGTCTGTAAGTTTAGTACTGATATGTTTGTGAAATTTTTAAAATTTGAAGTAAATGTGAGATTGCATCACATCTGGATATTTTTCCAGTGAGTACTTCACTGGAAGCACTTCAGTGTTTTTAATGCCAGATTGTTGCTAGAAAAAGATTGTGGTAATTTTCATAGTAACCATTAACTCCTGTTTAATAGTGATTTCCTAGAATCAGGTAGTTTCCTAGAACTAATACCTAGTAGCTTAATAGAATTTACTCCAAAAAAAAAAAGTGAACATTTTTTTAAATTTGAAATATCAAGAAGCCCAAATAATACTGTATTTGTACCCTAAATTAAGGCTCTTAAGATTTTTATAATTTTTTAGTTTGAGAAATTACTTGCTTGAGGTTTTGTAGGAGGATATTTTTTTAAAAAGAAAAATGTTTGGTTTTCTTTGTTGAATTTTTAAATATGTGGAAAGAACTTTCCTACTGAAATTTTATATGAATAAATTTGGTTTACCACTATTTTAATACAATGACGACAGAAAATGCCTCCTAATTTGCTTGGTTTTTGACCTGTAGGCAACTATAGCAACAAAGATGTCTTAAATCATTATTTAGTGGAGTTACTTTCCATAGGAATTTTAAATAAAAAGACTAGAAATAAAAGATAAGCAAGTCTAAGATACCTTTAAGATGTTATTCAAAGCAAACCATGGTATTCAAAGAAGCAATTTAAAACTTGAGATTAATAGGATGATAGATTCATACTTCAAGGTTCTGGAAAACTATCCTATTTCTTAGTCTAATGGTATTATTTTCATTTCAGCAATTTGAAAATTGAACTATTCATGATATGCCTAAGACCATGAAGCAAATAAGCTAAGATTATAACTGGTCTGCTAATAACTTTACCTCTACACTATGCTTCAGTTTCACTGTTCTTTTGAAGGTAAATTGTTAATAGTTTAGTCAAATATAAATAACTTGTATTAGGAATTTGCATCTTATTAATGTAAAAAGTAAGTGATATACTTTGTTTAGCAAATTGATCAAGGTTTAACACATAAGATACAAAACACTTTAACCCTTTCCCACAGATTTCTATCTCCCAAGATTTCAAGATTTGTGATTTTGAGTAATTACTATCTTCTCTGACAGGCTACCCTAGAGTTCAACTCCCTGATGTTACTTTGGCCCCTTTTTATACCTCTTCCCTCATGCTGGTGGATATGTGTGCTCATTAAAATGAATTTTATCGGGACCAGCAGTTAGCGTAATGGCTATGTCACTGGACTTCCATGTAGTCGACCGCAGTTCGCATCCCGGACCCGGTGGCTTAAAACTCATGCCGGGTGCGTGTGCGTGCGTGCCCAAGATCCCGAGAGGAGAATGGAGGAGAATGGATTGCAGCATGGCCATCCCCCCTGGGGGGTGATTTCTCGCTTTCTGTCTCTATGTCTCTCTCTGTCTGTCTGGCGAGCACACGCGCCCTATAGCGAAAACCTCTCAGAAAACAAAAACAAAAAATGAATTTTATCAACTAATAAAAAAGAGGTGACATGAGGAGAGGCAATTTTCTCTCTTATATAACACAAAGAAATCGAAAAAGCTGATTGGGAAGGAAACATGGGCAGCATATAAAATTGGGAGCCCATCTCACATGAAAGGAGAGAGGAGTGGTTCCCTCTAGTCACCCAAACCAGGAAGAATAAAGAATCACCTATACCACTTTGTACAGCATAAGAAAAGGAAAGGAGGCATAGTTATATAAATTTTATTTAAGATCAAAATGTGGACACTGCCATCAGTATCATTTGGGAACTTGTTAAAAATTCAAATTCTTCCCCTTCCCCCCCAATCAGACACTACAGGTGTGGGTGGGACACTGCAATCTGTATGGTTTTTGTTTATGTGTGTGTTTGTTTAAGAATTATTGGGAACCAGCAGTTAGCATAATGACTATGTCATTGGACTCCCATGTAGTCGACCGCGGTTCGTGTCCCGGACCCGGTGGCTTAAAACTCATGCTGGGCGCGTGTGCGTGCATGCCCAAGATCCCAAAAGGAGAATGGAGGAGAAGGGATTGCGGCGTGACCATCCCCTCTGGGGGGTGATTTCTCACTCTCTGTCTCTATGTCTCTCTCTGTCTGTCTGGCAAGTGCACACGCCCTATAGCGAAAACCTCTCAAAAAAAAAAAAAGAATTATTTATTTAGTTTTATTTTGTTAGTTTTGATTTGACCATCGGTGGGGGAAGGAGTGAGAAAGCAAGCCATCAAGTCTGGAACTTGAACCACAGTCAACCATGTGGGAGTCCATTACCTTAACCACCACACCACTTGGTGACCGCTGCAGTCTATGTTTTAACAAGTCTTCTTGATGATACTGATGAACACTCAAGCTTGAGAATCACTGATAGTAGATATTGTCATTCATTTATTTTGCTTTCCTGTCTGATTGCATTGGCTAGAACTTCCAGAACTATGTTGAAAAGGAGTGGAGAAAGTGAGCAACCTTGGGACCAGCAGTTGGCATAAGGCTGTGTCGCTGGACTCCCATGTAGTTGACTGTGGTTCAAGTCCTGGACCCTGTGGCTTAAACTCACGCCAGGCGCCTGTGCGTGTGTGCCCAAGATCCCGAGAGGAGAATGGAGGAGAAGGGATTGAAGCGTGTCCATCACCCCTGGGGGATGATTTCTCGCTTTCTGTCTCTCTGTCTCTCTCAGTCTTTCTGGCAAGCACAAGTGGCCTGTAGCAAAAACCTGTCCAAAAAAAAGTGAGCAGCCTTGTTTTGTTCTAGTTTTAAGTGGGAAGGCTTTCAGCTTTTCTCCATTCAGTATGATGTTAGAAATGGGTCTGTGATACATGGCTTTTATTGTGTTGAAGACTATCTGTTCTACCCCTATTTTGCTGAGTGCCTTGATCATGAAGGGATATTTTATTTTATCAAATGCTTTTTCTGCATCTTTAGATATGATCATATGATTTTTTATCTTTCTTTCTGTTGACATAATGTATTACATTTATTTTGCTTATGTCAAACCATCCTTGCATCCCTGGGATAAAACCTACTTAGTCATGGTATATAATCTTAATATACTGTTGGATTTGGTTTGTTAGTTTCTTGTTGAAAAATTTTTGCATCAGTATTCATCATGGATATTAGAGTCTGTAGTTTTCTTTTTTGTTATGTCCTTAGCTAGTTTTGGTATCAAGGTCATGGAGGCTTCATATTATTGAATGAGTTTTGAAGAGTCCTTCCTTTTGAATCTTTTTAAAAAGTAGTTTGAGGATAATTGGGTTTAGCTCTTCTAAAGTTTTGTAGAATTCAGAAGTGAAGCCATCTGGACCTGGGCTTTTCTTTGTTGGGAGACTATTACTGATTCAATCTCATCATTCGTTACTGGTCCATTCAGTAGGTTTTTTTGTGTTTTTTTGAGGGCTCTTTCTGTGGTTGATTTTAAATTTAGTTCCTTTGTGGTCAGAGAAGATGCTGGATAATAGCTTCTATACTTGTAAATTTATAAAGACTTGTTCTGTGGCCTATTATGTGGTCAGTCTTTGAAAATGTTCCATGTGGAGATGAGAAAAAAGTATTTTGTAATTTCTAGGTGAAATGCACTGTATACATCTCTCAGGTCCATTTGGTTCATGGTATCTATTAGTTCCTATGTCTCTTCGTTTATTTTTTTTGCCTAGATTACCTGTCCAGTGGTGACAGTGGGGTGATGAAATCTACAATTAATGTGT